ACAATTCTTATGTCTGGAAGAACTGTTTGAGATAAAGAAGGTAAAAAGATAAGTTAGAGAGCACAATTTTTTAACATACACCATCATCCTATGTTGCAGAATAAGAATCAACCTTATCCAAATTACAAGAAGCTGGTCATTTTGAGAGATCATTGTGGAGAAGAAAAAAGAGAATTAAAAAGTTCCATAAAAAAGAGAATGTATTAGATATGGATGCATCCTATTTTAATACTTTAAAAATAACAACAGACGAGCAATCATGATCGAGCAATATCGTCCGTTAGCTGGTCTCGCAATGCAGCCATCTCCATTGCACCTTCACCTTCGTGACTGTGAGCATGCTCCGATTCTTACTGTGGTATGGGACATCCCATATGGAATTCATACGCTTCTGGTGGAATCTCATGTAAGTCTTCTTCTACAGAAACAACGTCCACATCAAACCTAGAATGGTGGCTGCGGATGTAGTTGTGCAATGTCATTGTTGCAACAACTATATGAACTTAGGAAATGGATAGGTTGGCATGTCGTGTAATATCATCCACTTCTTCTTCCATACCCCAAATGATTTTTCAATCACACTACGTAAAGAGTAGTGCCGTTTGTTAAACATTTCCTTCCTACCACGTGCAATCCCGCTTGACCTCTCAAAGTCAGGAATGTAGTACTTTGTGTCAGCATAAGACTTTAGATAACCCCTCTGTAAGGGATATTCAGAGTCAACCAGGTAATATTTACATGCACGAATACATAATTTAGAAATGATTCAGAAATATCAAATATATTTGCTATAAATACGTATCATGAGGGGGGGTACGGGAAGCAATGTTTTCGGCGTCTGGTGACAAACTTAAAAATACGGCTATCGTGTGTGCTGCCCTCCCATCCGACTATCACAAATCCGAAACACATGTTGAAATCGCAAACGACCATTACATTGTGTGGGGAAACCATAGCGTCCAATGTAGGCGACTTTGTCAGTGGCAGATACACATGCATCGACGTGAGTTCCATCAATAGCTCCTATACAGTCCTAAAATTTATAGTGTTTAATTTATTAATAATTGAGAGATAACTAATTTTAATATAATAATGACATCTTTAATAGATACCTTGAAGAACGACATGTAGAATGGGTCATTCGCAATATGATTAGGAATAGACTGGAATGTGGGATCCTCGGGCTTAATTATCTTGGAGGCTAAACCTACTAGTGCCTTTAGAACAATTGAGAAATGTCTGCTAATAGTCTCTGATGAATGTTGGAATCGCTCCATGAATCCTCTAATGGACTCATTCTGAGATAATATATAAAGTGTTATTGCTAACACCTCTCTGAATGTTATTCTGGTCGAGCCATTCAAACCATGTTGGTGTTGTAGTTCGTAGAGCAGGTTAATAAAAGTCTCTTTCGTCATACGGAACATGTTTGCGAAGCGTGTTGGATGACCCTATAGTAACTCACCGACCCATTTATTTCCAACATAACTCGACGTCATACACGGGGTTATTTAAGGTAGTAGTTGTATAATAAAATAAGAATAAGAACAATCTTTCTAATGTAGTTCAATTGTTCTGGATCCATCCTACGAAAGTTAGTTAAAAGAGAATGGTTAAAACTGTTATCCATTTAGACACATCCATACAACATATAACCACATAAGATATGAGAGCAACAATGTTAATTATAAGGAGTGCGGATAAAAAGTTAGTGCTAGAAAGAAAATAACGATTCCCGTTACAACAGTACAAACAGTTCTGAGAAAACATAACGACAAGCTTTCAAAGCATTCAAATTTCCAAGAAGGAACGTAAGAAATCGATTTGATATTCTGCATCAAACTTTACAAAAATTTCTCTACGAACTGGATCTTGTAATAACTTAACACAATTGATATATAGTTTCCTGTCCGCCTTAACCTCAGCATGTGTGTTTAGGATTCGAAAGCACCCTTCAACGGATATATCTTGTGATGCAACAAGCTTAATTGTGCAGGATTCAACAAGTTTTTCGATTGTGCTTCCGACAAATGCGACTCTTTTCTTCCTTTTCTCCACCCTGGGCCGTTTTGGAACTGATGTGAAGTCCACTTCTCTTCTGCTATGCCAATGAAGTCAGGTTCATATGGGGTAAAAACATGTGCTCCCGTTGTAACAATCCCACTGAACATGTCATCCAGCTTCTCTTTTATTACTGGATCAATGTCTTAGAATTTGAATTTCTTAGTTGCTGGCACGACCTGCACGAAATAACAAATTGAATTAGTTAAATCAGTTTAATATAACTAAAAATGAATTAAGGAATTGGTCAAAGGTATGTCATTACTTCTAGTTTTCTGCCCACAAATTCTCAGGAGCATCTAATGTTCGTTTCACTGGATCTCAACCCAAATCTGTAGTTCCCCTCTTAAGTTTTTTCCATATTTCCAGTCATTCTTTTATTAATCTCACTTATTCTTAAATTTCATCATGTCATAGTCCATTCCTGTCAATTCCTTGAATTTGACCATAATATTTTGCCAACCATCTTTTTTAAAATATGTCGTAGGTCTATTTTTGAGCTCGACCTTCCTAAGTAAGATAACGGATAACATTTGTTGCATCCCTGTCCCACATGACCGATAATCCAACTTCTTTAGACCAACAACCATGGCATGATGTTTAACAATTAATTTGAGAAATTGTTTGCTACATTTTTATGAAAGTGGTATCCATTAACTGATTTTATAGTACAAGAATCCTCTTAATGAAAGCACTCTGATTAAAAGGAAAAAATTATAAAAAAATACTTTGATTTAATGGAAGCAATAATCATAACCATTCAAAATGAATTTGATGACTATGATTGAAGAACTTGACCCGACTCCAATTTTATAAATGCAAAAAACACTTATTGAAACATTTTTAACGAAGACACTACTAAACATGGTAGAGAAAAATATTCATCAGAAAACCAAATATCAAGATTCGTCTGCCCAAATAAAAAAAACGGACGAATATGTGATATTCATTGAAATTATTTATAATTTTTTAGCTCAAGCATCTATAATAGCTATAGCACTAACCTTTATAAAGAATTATTCATTCTTTATGTCATAAACTATTGCTTTTAACCCCATCGTACATGACGAATAAGATCGCCACACTTATTTAGTAGTTATAGTTAAATCTAAAAAACGAACGGGTGAGTATTAATGCATCCATAGAGCCCCCATCATTTGCGTCATATATGTCCACATCAACTTCCTTTGTGCATGCATGTCCATAACTTTGCATTCGTAAAAATCATTTATGGCCACAAGCAATACATTCCTCAACTCTTAAATTAACCAACAAAAAACGATCATACATAATCCTTAGTTGCATCAAGTCGATAAATGAAATACTTTAGGTAATAATAGAAATACAGATGGGTGACCTTTATTGAAAAAATCTAATTATATCAATTAAGAGAAAGATCACAATATTGCAATCCCTGCTCGAGGAATTGCTACCAAAAATTCCTTCGACAAAATGATTTATTGCTTTTATATTGAACCTAAATTAATTGTCATCATGCTATGTAACTTTGAATATGAAATCTTCGAGAACATCTTAAAAATTCGTACTGAAACATTTTTTTTTTACTTCAGCCTATAATAAATGCACACCCAATGTGATTATCTGATTTCATTCTCCACCATTTAATACAAGACTGTAAGTACCGAAAAAGAAGAAATGCAGCAGAAGAAGAGGAAGAGGAAGAAATGTTGTAGAAATGTCTGTAGAGGTGCGAAGAAGAGGAAGAAATGGCTGTTGAAAAGCCAGTGGAGTTGCGAAGAAGAGGACACGGAAGATGTTATACCTGTCGAGAATGCCGAAGAAAAAGCTTGCCGAAGAAGGACGGGATGCCAAACTAAAGCAAGGAGCGACTACGGAAGTCGCGAGCTAGTGCAGACCTCAAAGCTTCTCGGCCAAATGGGGAGTGCGGAGGTAGGAGCGGCTTCGAACGGCTAGGGCAAAATTCAATTCACTGAGGTTAGGTGGGTAAAATGGATTGCGGGGGGCGTTCGAAACGCTGACCGCGGCGTTATACCTGCAATCGCATTTTCATGCAAATAAAAAACATCGTTTTCGGATATATAGGTAAAACGTGCGAAACAAACAGGTGCGGCGGCGTTTTTGAAAACGTTGCCGCACTTATAAACTACCCCAAATGGGCCCGGAGACTATTGTTCATAAGCATTGGTGCCAACTGCCAATTCATCCATTTTGCGACTACCCTTTGTACCCCAAAACCCACCATTTTTTTTTAAGATTTACATACCACTTAATTACTATGCATTTACATAACTAATACATAAACTTTAATTTTTACATATATACCACCTTAACACTGCATGAGAAAATGTATTTCACTACTTGAAAGCCAAAATAGTGGTATTTTTATGTGATATGAAAGATTTGAGTGCTATAAAAGTAAACATAAAGTTTAGTGCTAGTATAACTTCATGAACATAATACCATTTTTACTGTAATATCATCTTGAAATGAATGAAACCACTTAGATCTTTATTTGCTTGATCCTCTCTGTATTGCCACAATGCGCTTTCAATTGAATTTTGGCATGCATATTATGGCTGATTGAAACTACTGTTCATAAATATAGGTGCCAACTGTCATTCATCCAGTTTGTGACTACCCTTTACCCCAAAACCCACACCCTTTTTTTTGGAAGATTTACATGCCACTTAGTTCTTATGCATTTACATAGCTAACACCTAAACTTCAATTTTTACATATATGCCCCCTTAACTCTGCATGAGAAAATGTTTTTCACTTCTTAAAAGTCAAAATAGTGGTATTTTTATGTGATTTGAAAGATTTGAGTGCTATAAATGTAAACATAAAGTTTAGGCGTTAGGTATGTAAATACATAGTAATTCTGCCCCAAAATTCTTCTCGTTCTGCAAATTATGAACTTGGCACTCAAACGTCAACTTGTGATTTAAATGTGGCAGGCATCAATCAGAAAGGTTTCATAATAAGGAAATAAATTTGAGCAATAGCAGTTCTGATGGAGAACTGAATTCAAAGCTTCGATACACGAAACATTCAATAAAAGCAGAGCATTCCGCTAAAAGAAGAGGACACCTTGTTTCAGAAGATAAGAATGAGCAGCCTTCTGAGCGCCACAGATCTGAAGACCGATTCTATTCAAAGAATTACTGCTCTCACAGCGATGAAGCTGTTGAAAGTACATCCAAGGAAATGAATCATGATTCGTGCAGGAATCATAGAAGATATGCTGTAAATATTCCACCAGAACGTGCTGGAAGACATGAGAGAAGATCATCATCCAGTAGGAGAAAGAGGAAGGTATATTCAGAAGAGCAGGAGAATTCAGAGTCCAAACCCCGCAAGAAACTCTACAGAACGAATTCGAAGGATCAGGGCTCGACGAATGGGGATTTCAATGAGAAATATTCATCTGAGGATCATGATGAAGATGAAGATTATGACGTGGCTAGATATCGTTATCATAGTCAATCTGGCAATAGAAGAAAATATGATGAACATAGTTCGCGGCGGCGCAGAAGTCATCAGTTGCCTGAACATCGACGTATGGAAGAAAGCGATGAATCTCCTGGTCGCTGGAAAGCTTCCGAGCATGATTTTCTTGTTGAGGAAACTTAGTCGATCTTTCATTTCTTAGCAGTTATGTGATGTGGATGAGTTTGTTGAGTACTGATTGAGATTTGAGATTGGAGGGCTTGTAAAATGATTAGTAGAAGCTACAGGAGTTTTGTGAAGTGCCTGGTGATGTAATTGAAAGCATTTCAAAATATGGTGTCATAGATTCACGTTGAGCGGCTTTCTTCTTGCTTTCTAGATCTTCTACTGCTTTGGATTGGTGAGCTATTTGTCGCTGGTTGAAGTTTATACTAATATTACGGAAGATTTACATATATAGCACTCCATCTTTATGTATTTTACATATCTAACATCAAACTTCAATTTTTAGTTGTATGCCATCTTATCTATTCATGGAAAGGCGTACTTCATTCGTTAGAAGTTTAAAATATTGGTATTTTTGATATAATATGAAGATTTGGGTGACATAAATGTAAAAAGCGAAGTTTGGATGTTAGATATCTAAATACATAAGAATTTGATGGAATGTTTGTAAATGTACATAAGTTGGTGGAATGTTTGTAAATGCCCCTAATATTGTTGTGTATATGTTTCTTTTAAAAATATTATTATTATGTGTTATTCTTGGATTGTTGCTCCAATCTATTATATCTAGATATCTGAAAATTTGATGGTAAAAGGAAATGATCACATTGTGATGTTTGTGAATATCTCGTGCTTAGTTCAAGAAAGGGTTTTATCTATAGATATATATTTTAAAAAGGGAATGATCACAAGGTAATGTTTGTGAATATCTTGTGCTTAGTTCAAGAAAGGGTTTTATATTTAGATATATATTTTAAAAAAGGAATGGCCGGAGGCTATTAGATGAGCCCTGACAATCCCTCATGCGCGTAAAAATTCGAGTACAACACCCTACACTCTGGGGGAATCGGATCCCATACCAGAGGGGGCTTACGACTGCAGGCAAATGCCCGACCAATTGATTCGAGTATGCAGTGTCAATATATATATATATATATATATATATATATATATCACAAATTGTGCCGCGTTCCTCGACTTTTTGGCGTCACATTAAAAATATTATTTTTCTTAGTTTTCTATTACACGTGATCCAATTTTTCAAATTATTATTGCATATTTTAATTTGTGATGTTTTTAATAAAGAATAATAATAAATAAATATTTTGTTATTAAAATTTAATTAAATATCAAATGTGTCCATAAAGTGTTGTCTTATATTTTTCAATTATGTTGTGTCTGCTTATCCCATCATATTTTGTCCATGCTTTATAGCCTAGGCTTTATGAAACTCAAGATCAATATTGCTAGACGCACACCTAAGCACATGCATATAACTAATAATGGAAGAAGAATGTGGTAAAGAAAATTTTAATAATTAAGAATATAATTCAAATTATTTATTTTTTATTGTGTATGATAAAAAACTTTGGACTAATTTCAAGAGAAGATTGTGGGCTAGGTAACCAATTTGATTAGTAAGTTCGGCACAATTGCCTAGCCACATAATTAAACTCAAGCACTTCAGCAGATAGCTCGATTATGTAGTTCAACAAACTAACATGGTCAATCGTTCAAAAAAAATCCCGCAATAAGTGCTCCCAAGCTAATCAAATCAACTTTGTCAATTCACCCATGAATTGAATGCACAAGGCACATATGCTACATACTAGGCTATTTTTATTCATTTATTAATAAGAGAGAATTTTTTAGAGAGAAACTTTGAACATTCTATGGAAAGGGACTTAAGATCCCATTAAGAACTCCTTTGGTGTTATAGAACTTTTATAATCACTCCTTTGTTTTTAATAGAATCTCAATGGAAATTTCTTCATCTTTTCAACATTCAATGTCTTCATTTCTTCTTATCTCACATAAGTTTTTCCTTGGGTCATATACACGAATATTCAGGATCCAACATATTGTTTCTCATTTATGTCTATGATGGATCATAAATTGTTTTGTGGATCATATCCAAGGAATAGAGCGTCAGACAAATGAATGAAAGAAAAATAAGACACAAGTAATAATTTTTATTTTTGTAAAGTTTCTAGGATTCCCTCCCAGTGAAAATGATCCTTTTATTTATAACTCTTCGGTATGATATTACAAATTACATGATTGTTCCATTCTTTAACAAAAATGTTACTATAATTTATAATCCTATATACCCTTAAATACATGTAACTAATTAATACATATCCTGGCCTTGTAACTGTCGTTAGCGTCGTTCTACATCTTTAACTGCTCCTGATGTCGCTTCGTATTTGTAACTGCCAGGCATAGACATTTGGTATTCAGTCAGTCGACCAATAATCATTCGGCAGGATGAGTAATCTTCATATCATAGAATGGTCTTCAGTTGACTATTTATCGTAATGGTAGAAACTAGTTAAGAGAGTGTTACATGATTGCGCGGTGTTTGTTGAACCGATCAACATTTAGTTCGATCGACTTCATGGGCCGAAGGACTTCATGACAAATGTTCAAACACTTATCTTCTTATGTGATCCAAGTGCCTTCTCGAAATCTATGAAATCATATCCTTGATTTACATCATTAGTTTTCAATTCTCTTACTTCTTTAAAACTGACTACTACCATCAGAATTAGAGAATTAAATAGTAATTGTTCGCATAACAATGAAATAAATAATAACAATAATTTTAATCAATTTTCGTGCCGCTTTTTCCTATACATAGGGCGTTAAGAGCATTTCTCTTTTCTCCTTTTCCCATTTGTTGGTCATTTAAACAAATGAATATGTCAAGCAATAAGAAACCATAATGGGAAGAAGCCTTGCTATAGGTCTTTGAGCTTCCTGCTTCCAGCACTTGCCCCTCTGGAGATGAAAGAAAAAAACAAACCTGAAAGTTCTAGCCTACTCCTTAAGAAATGGGTGGGTGAGGACGTTCTACTAATCGATAAGAGGAAAATAAATGAGAAGAAAATAGTTGGTGCCAAAAGGTTGGCCGAAGCGACAAAACTAGTTAACCAGTCGACTGCAAAAATGCCTCGCGTGGAAGAGGTTGACGAATCTTATGATTCTACACCGCTGCTTCAGGTGTTGTATAGGAAAGACAGACAAGTATTGTCTTCTGCACTGCTTCTTCAGTGTCAGTCCCAACCATCATCTCGGGAGGGGGAACCCTTGAAGGTGGCCACACGAGGTCCATCACTAGATTTCACTCTACTTCCCCTCTGACTCTAAAAACAATTCACGGTGATGTCTTACCTTGGGTAGATGATCCACTTCAATATTTAGCTGATGAAGCTATGTGAAATGTAGCTCCACGGGTAGGAGACATTCCTCCTCCATCGTTGACCAAAGGAAATCTCTATGGTGGTACACTCACTCTCATCGTAGATAGCTTCCATACTTTTGAAATAGAGTGCATGACTGGTAACTTACACTTTCCTTTTCATTTTTTGGTTTCAATTTATTATTGTAACACATGCTTAATTACTATAGAAAAAAAGTGGATATCATTGACTCACGACTCATAAAAATGACGTGCTAAATCGAACCAAAGGATGTGATTGGTTCTTCTGCTTAGGTTGTAGTTGAGGGGGTATCCACTCTACTGCCTCGTCTAATCCTAACATCCATTTCAACCAATTCGGAGGTGGAAATTGGTGACTAAAGGGAATCTCATGAATTTTTAGTTTGCCATATAGATGGGACTGTGGATTTCCTTGGTCAGGCTGCTGATCTCCAACAGGAAGTCATCGTATCGGACTTGCAGGAAGAGTTGGAAATTTTGTATGTTGTTAAACAAGTCATAGATATAAATGTTCTCTGGACCAAGGTTGCAGATATGGAAGATATACGGGCCCAAGTCGTAGACGTGGATGTTCTCCGGACCATGATGGTTGATATGGAAGTTCTCAAGCCCAAGTTACAGATTTGGAAGTTCTACGGGCCAAGGTTGTTGACATGGAAGTTCTCCAGGATAACGTTGCATGCATGGATATTCTCTGAGTCGAGATGGTGAGTCTCAAAGATGAATTGGATGAATTTTGGGTCGTTCTTTCGATACGTATGCATCAAAGAAGAAAAGATAGAGAAATATAAGCTTGGTGCGCGTTTGTTGTACATGAGCTTGATGAACCGGGGATTAGTTCTACCCGAAGCGGTTGACGACATTGCTATAAAATATTTTTTATATAAATAAAAATTATCTATAATTTTATCATTGTTGTTTTTCTTGATTTTCAAACCGAAGTGATATATTTGACAATCCTGATAAGATGTTTTAGCTTTCGCGAGGAGCTTATATAAAGGTTCGAGCAGATGTTGAATGAAACCTTTGCATTTTTTTCACTTTTGGTTATCCTGGTCATTTTTACTTTTAAATCTTGATGGCTCTGAATTATTCTCATCAGATTTTTAGCATGGTTAAATAATCCGAGAGATCAATCCTGACCGATTTTGAGGTTAGGTTGTTGAACAAGACTTGTGTTTACGATACAAGGGTCATTTTGGACTAAGTGGATGCGAATGTCTGGGCTACTGATTACCTCAATGATGTTGTAATCTTTTATCGAGACCAATTTCAATGTGAGCTTCAACTACCCTTATGCACAAAATTCCACTGGATTTTAAACATCTATGACATTACACCAGCTCAAGTGAAGCAAAATTCAAGTTCTTTGGTCAATAGTTTTAGACATGTCCTCTTCTATGTGCTCCAAGTCCTCTCCTGCCTTCCCCACTTCAATTACCTGTTATATCTGTAAGAAAAATAAAAAAAAATACATTCTTAAAAGTGCAATATTATCAATAAAAATTTATAAAAATAATCCTAAATTCTGGTCAACTTTTTTTTGTATCAGGTATGTGGTTTTTTGTACCACACAGAAGTTTCATTTATTCAATCTAGAAAACAAGATAAAAGATTGGAAGTTAAGATTCATGAAGGGTTCTTGTGATGAGTGGGATATCTCGACTAGAGCCACATGCAATTTGTATAAATAGAGTAAAATAATTTCTTTTCAACTGAAACAAACAGAGTAGGTCATTCTCGATCGACAATTGTTAGTGGTTCAATATATGGACTCTATAACTGTAAATTAGGTGTTGAACCAAGAGATTATGGCTCAATCAGATAAGGGATGTGGGTTGCTTCTAATGAGGCTTCTAATGAGGCCGAGGGAAAATGAAAGCTAGAGAGCTAAGTTGCTCTCAAAGA